GAGTGCAAAATTGTAACATCTGCCTTAATTTACATTTTTGTCTGCTGGTTTTTTTATTGTTGTTGTATTGACTTCAAATCATTATGAGAGAGGGAGTAGGGGTGTACCAACAAGAATATTCAACAAAAGGATGAAAGTCGTTAGAACTTGGAAATATAGCGGTGGCTGAAACAAAAAGTGTTAAACCATGTTACAGTTTTGCTCGTCACTGTATGTATATGTAAATATATATGTACATATGNTTAATATAATGAAAATGTCGAATTACAATTCAAAGATGTTGCACGAATGAACAAGAGAAAATCTATACCAGGAAATGTATGCAACAAGCCAAGGTATGTTTAATTACTTATTTCTTCAAAGTTTATAGAGTTGCCATCTTCGCGAGACGAATAATGTAGTAGGCCTTAACCCCTACATATGTATATGTAAATATATATGTACATATGTATATCACATTTATGTACATTACATAAAACACTTTTATATGGTGCTAAGCAAGAAATATTTAGGAACATAAAATTTCATTTCGTTTTGCACTAAAATACACTCTTTTGCACTCAATGCATAAGAACTTATATGCTAGGTATGTATCTACATACATATAGTGGTCCACAAACTAAAATAATTCCGATATTTTAACCGGTTTCGGCATTTGGCATTTGTCTTTTGTTTATTTAATGCTTATTATTTTTTTTATAAAAGTCTAGCTGGTATACAACAAAATACATATAAATTCAGATTTCAAACTTTGTGCAAAAATTGCTTATTTTCACCAAATCTTCAAACTTTTTAATCAAAATTTTGGTATGCTGTTTTGTAGACTATTTAATTCTAGTATTATGAAGTGCAAGTTTCAAGCTTCTATAAAATCCCGTAAATTTTTGTATTTTTTTTTTGTTGCTGGCAGTGTCCTCCATATAAAAGAAAATGGTCGAACATACTTTTGTATGGAAAAACGTGAAACACCTTCAACAAAAAAAAATAATAATAATTTTTGTGAGCTGTCTGCTAATGCTTTTTGATGTTGGCTGTTGTCTGTCGCTTCACCTGAACATGTGAAAAGAAATTCTAAAGAATCGGCGAAAAAAGCCGATGCCGATGCTAAATTTTGTGGCGATTCTAGCCGATACCTATAGGAACGACTTCATGTAAGGTCTCACTAAATCCTGTAAGCCGGACTGCTATTGGAACAGACTAAGCCCCTTATTCATAAAAAATAAAGTAGGTTTAAAGAGCTTTATAAAGTGACGTTTTCATACATTTTTCAATTCATAAACCTTTTATAAAGCTACTTTATTTTTTATGAATAAGGCCATAAGATTTTTCAATTTGACACAAGAAGCTGTGAGGCGAAACACATATACAATATCAGCTGATCTAGTAACACCACCTTAAATAAGTTTTGCTGTTCGCGTACACAAAAATCCAGAAGGGGAAATTGAGATACCAAATTGATATTTCATTCTGCTGAGAAGGTACTAGTTTCTGCTGAAAAAATTTTTGCCAGCAGCAGTTTCCAGCATAAAAAACAGCTGATCAAAGCCTGTTTGCAATTTATGAAAATAAAGAAACTTGGTGGTTTTTAAAATTAAAATAACTTATTAGAACAGCAAATGTATCGGAAGAAAGCTTATTCTCATTTACTTATGTATGTTTGCTTAGCAAAATGCTTTAGACAAACTTTTAATTTATATTGTTTTTCATGTTTTCTGTTTTATGCTTTGTATGTAAACAAAATTACTTAAGACATCCAGATTAGTGGCAAAAATTTATATATTCATTGCCGGCAAAAAGTATTGGCACAGCAAATTTTTCACAATATATAAAAATCTGATTCTTCCTACAACAAAAAACATAAAAATATAATTCCTAAACTTTGAGCAAAACTCACGGAAATTCAGCAAATTTTCAACTTTTTAATCAATTATATTTTTTAGTTTTTTGCTGTAGAATGAACCATATTTTTATAAAAAATTGGCGGAAAAATATTTGAAAAAAAATTGTTCCATATATTGTGAAAAATTTGCTGTGCCAATACTTTTTGCCGACAGTGTACATATGTAACTGTTTTTATTTTCTACATATATCATCCATGGATTATTTTTCGTGTAGGCAAAACACCAATTCAAAGGACCTTATAAAGTTTTATGTACGCTCATATTCTTAAATAGTTCGTTCCCACGACTGTCGGGTCTAGTAACCGGAACGACCCAGATTTATATCTGGCCAAGGACTGTCACTCCAGCAACACTCCCCAAAAACTCGTTGGGGAATTTGTATGCTGCTACAACAACAACAACAACCTTATAAAGTTATAGTATCAGGAATAACTAAAAATAACTCATTATATTAATTAATTGTATCTTTATCCAANCCCAAAAACTCGTTGGGGAATTTGTATGCTGCTACAACAACAACAACAACAACCTTATAAAGTTATAGTATCAGGAATAACTAAAAATAACTCATTATATTAATTAATTGTATCTTTATCCATAAACACAAAATATTCAATTATCGTATTGTGAGTTTACAAGAATCGTAATTACTTCTTAAAATTTACGAATATTTCAGTAACCTAAAGAAAAGGATTTATTTTACTTTAGTTGCTGCTCGAAGTTTAGCAGAACGACTACGACTGTTTCGGGCAACCTCTGCTTCACAGGGAGTAATTACATGTTTGTGAAGCTGTCGCCAACTCGATCGAACAAATGTCTCAATTAGTTCCTTATCGTGCGTAACATCATGTCCACAATATTTCAGCGGCACGGGGTTTGCAATACCCTCAATTACGTTTCCATTTATATGGCGTTTGACTATCGTGTCTTCTAAAGAGTGAAATGTTATAGCGACTAATCGGCCCCCGTAGCGCAAATATTCCTTGGCTAAAATCATTCCATAATTGATCTCATTCAATTCGTTGTTAACAAATATGCGCAGCGCCTGAAATGTTTTGGTAGCTACATGCGTAGGTCGCTGTATTTTGTCCAGCCGGTATGCATTCTGAAGACACGAGCTCACCAAATCCGCCAGCTGTTTGGTGGTTTCAATCTTATAAAACGCAGAACGTGCCTCTACTATCGCCCTAGCTATTTTTTTCGCGCTCTTCTCTTCGCCATAAACTCTTAAAATTTTTACCAAGTCTGCTTCCTCCGCACGGGCGAGAACATCTGCAGCTGTGATTTGTTCATTGCATCGTCCCCGGTCCATTCTCATATCCAAGGGGCCGTTTTTAGAAATGGAGAATCCGCGAGCAGCTTCATCAAATTGCATCGAGGAGCATCCAAAATCAAATAGGAATCCGTCGATGGAGTATTTTTTTAAATTATGTTCCTTCAATAACTTTGGCAATTCAGAGAATTTGCCTAGAAGTGGTGTGAGCCTATTTGGAAATTCTTCACTCAAACATTGAGCTAGCTCAAAGGCTATGGGATCCCGGTCTAGCGCAAAAACCTTTATATCATCATATTTTTGTAATAACTGTCTAGTGTGGCCCCCAGCACCAAATGTCATGTCGATGAAAATTTTGTGTGGAGCTGGATCAAGATAAAGAATAGCTTGTTCACAAAGTACAGGAACATGCTTAACTAAATGTTTTTCGCAGATTTTCGAAACGGTACTGAAGTTTGACCTCAAAGAAGTTACAATCTGATTAATTCGTCGAAGCATTTTTTTTTTTTAATCTTATTACAGTTTTTGCTAATACAATTTTTTTCAGTCACTTTCACCCTTTTGGACTACATGTATTCTCATCATTAAGGTACTGTAAGAACTCCGACGACAACACTTGATTGCACTGTTCAGAAGTCAATCCCGTGGCTGTTGAAGTATACCTCCGCTGGTATTTCTTTCCATAAACGTTATAAGTTAATCTTTCCAGTGAATCAGTTTCCGCACTTAGTTTTTCGTGGACTTCAGTGGTAAGGCTTATAGGATTCGCGAGATGTATTACTTGTTTTCGTATCCGCTCCCCCAAATCCCTATTAAAATTTGGCAAGTGCAAGTTAGAAAGGACATCATTAAACCGGACAAAATGTAAATATAAATGAAATGAACTATGTAATTGCAATATTCTAAGTGTTCTATAGAAATAAGAATGTGTCCAACATAAAAGTAAAAAAATCTAGTTTTATTTTGTGAATATCGGCACCACTGTTTCAATTTTCATTGCTGTTATTCCCAAATATGAACAGATATGCAGAATTTGTGCCAAAAANAGATTTTCGAAACGGTACTGAAGTTTGACCTCAAAGAAGTTACAATCTGATTAATTCGTCGAAGCATTTTTTTTTTTTAATCTTATTACAGTTTTTGCTAATACAATTTTTTTCAGTCACTTTCACCCTTTTGGACTACATGTATTCTCATCATTAAGGTACTGTAAGAACTCCGACGACAACACTTGATTGCACTGTTCAGAAGTCAATCCCGTGGCTGTTGAAGTATACCTCCGCTGGTATTTCTTTCCATAAACGTTACCAGTTAATCTTTCCAGTGAATCAATTTCCGCACTTAGTTTTTCGTGGACTTCAGTGGTAAGGCTTATAGGATTCGCGAGATGTATTACTTGTTTTCGTATCCGCTCCCCCAAATCCCTATTAAAATTTGGCAAGTGCAAGTTAGAAAGGACATCATTAAACCGGACAAAATGTAAATATAAATGAAATGAACTATGTAATTGCAATATTCTAAGTGTTCTATAGAAATAAGAATGTGTCCAACATAAAAGTAAAAAAATCTAGTTTTATTTTGTGAATATCGGCACCACTGTTTCAATTTTCATTGCTGTTATTCCCAAATATGAACAGATATGCAGAATTTGTGCCAAAAAATTCATAGAAAGAATATGCGGTATTTGGTCTATTTTGAGTATGTACATATATTTTAACTGATATCAGAGGGTTTAAAGACACCGTTCAAAATTACGGAAATTATTTATGTTCGTTAGCGAAAATAAGTTTAGGTATCGATTCTCTCAATGCAGCGGCCTGGTTCCGGCGCAAGAATTAGTAAGACGTTCTGTCAATGTTGCTGGGTGGGCGAAGGGGGAGTGGGCGTGGCATCTCCAACCACCCTTTTTGGAGGGCATGAACTGCCATTGTCAAAAATGTCACCCCGACCACCTAGGCCCCCCAAGGAAACTTTAGAAAAATGGCCGAAAATCACAATTTTCACTTGCGTTTTTCGCTTGAAAAAGGTTGAATATTCATTTGCACAAGAAATTTTATATACCCTTGACAACAGAAGAGGTGCCTGTCCCTCTTATCCGGCAACACTGTAAGGAGCATTTTACTTAGTAAGGGTCATAATCCCAAAGCGCGACCAAGGCCGCCTACGCAGAAAGGAGTAATGTAATTGCAAAAATACTGTGGATACCAGTGCCGGGGTTATATGCACAAGAAATGTTATACACTTTTGACAAAAGAAGGCCTATCTCTTTTCTTCTTCGGCAACAAAGAAGCCAGAATTCTACGTAATAAGGGTTAAAATCCCTAAGGCCGCCCACGTAGAATGGAATTCTACGCAAAAATACTGTGGAAGCAAGTGAAAGTTGTGATTTTTAGCGGTTCATGCCCTCTCCAAAAAGAGGGGCTGGAGGTGCCAAGCCCACCTTCGCCCACCGCCGCTTCAACGACCACCCTTATAGGAAAGTTTCACCAGGGATACTTCTCTGTACGCCGAATCACTCAGCTCGAACAGTTGTTTAGTATTATTTTTGTTTTTTGTTTCAACAGATATCTTACTCGAAAACAGGTACTCCAAGGATGTATTCTTCGGGAATTCTTTGATATGCGTATTTGGAGGTCATTTTTGATTGAATTGGAACACTTGAATGCGATTTATAAACTTTTGGTTTAATGAGGCCAAGAAACAAACTATACTGACTATAGTTTCAACCTCACAACGTTAGTTTTAACAGCTTTTAAATATTGAGTTTCGGCATGTAAGCAGTCATAGACGTGATAAGCTTCCACTTGAATTTTTTACATTTGTTTGTACATAAATATATCAATGTATGCACTTAATAGGGACCGGCTACACTTAAGCTGCTCTTTTCTACCATTGACGAAGTATAAGTACCTTGGGTAATCACAAAATTATTTCCATAAATAAAATGCAAACAGGAGTACGTTAGATAACAAATTGATAAAGCGATGGTATGTACAGTGAAAACAAAGAACGTAAACGTGATAGCATACCTGCCAACTTTTGTTTTGTCTGTCGGCCACCTTTCAAGAGCTTTTAAGAATCGTTGATATTGAGCTGACATATTTCGCCATAAAAACAAGCCTGTTAGCGAATCAACTAATACAAATTACTTAAATCATTTTCATTAGGCGAAAAGTGGTTTCATAACGCCAGTCGGTGGCCAAAACAGCTGAAATTAGGATTTTTCAGGGATACATAGGGTTCGAACGATACTATCGATATTGAGTAAGTATCGATACTGAGGGTATAAAAATGAGTACTTTAGTGCTCTATAACTTATTTGGTGATTTTACTCGATACTTTGCAAAGTACCCGTAGTATCGAATACTTATTAAAAACACACTTTTTAAATTTTTTCTTCCATTAGCAAACTAATTTTCTTTGCTTATATGGATTACTAGCATTCAATTTTGTCAATCACTTAAAATAAACTGAAATTGCGTGTAGCCTGTTGCATAACATAAACCAAATAAGTAAAAGTTTAATGGCCTTATTCATAAAAAATAAAGTAGGTTTAAAGAGCTTAGTAAAATGACATTTTCATACATTTTTCAGTTTATATACCTTTCTTATTTTTTATGAATAAGGCCATAAAACTTTACGCAAAGTTCACGAAAATGCAGAATTTTTAGAAACTTTTTGGGTATGCAGTTTTGTAACCTATTCAAGTTTACGTGTAGACTTCTACCGTTGACTTTAAATTCAAACTTCCACATTATTATACCAAAATTGAATAGGATACAAAAATGCAACCCAAAAAATTTACAAAATTTTTTTAATAAAATTTTAAATTCGTGAATGTGTGTATGTATGTATGTACATTTAACGTTAAAATTAGTTCTAACGTGAAAGTATGTTTTGCAGTGAAATAAAAATCAAATATTTTAAATTTCTATTGTTTTAATTTCAGGAAATAACTAGATATAAGATTCAAGAATAAAATAATTTTAGTATCCCAAATACGTATTTTAATGAGTCCGATACTGAGTAGTATCGATACTTTTTCCCTGATACTTTTAGAGTATCGATACCATGAGCTCGATGCCAGAATGAGTACTCAGTATCGATACCAAAGTCTGAAATTTCGAAACCTAGGGATACAATGGTAATAGTAAATACAAGTACATACTCGATACCTTTCGTCCTTCAGCAAGTAATTTTGGTATCGAAAGCTTTGAACCAAGTACTGAGGTATTTCGGAGTATTTGTATCGAAACCCGATTCATTGACAATTTTATTCCCGAACTTTAATTTTTTAATTTAAATGGCGCGTATTCATAGTCCAGCAACTTAGTCGAAACTAACAAAGTTGCAACTTAAATTTAAGTACCAACTTAAAATCAGCGTTTGAAAATGCTTCGCTATTTGCCAGTTTTGCCATAGCAATAGAGAGCAAAAATTTCGTTTGCTATGCTGCAAACCGCTATCACAGTTTTTTATTTGCTACGACTCCAAACAGACATTGTTCGTTTTTTTGCTCTATTCATCTGCGTAGTAGTACAACCAAACCCAGTCGGGAGCCGAGAATACAAATTTTTTCGGGTTTTGTACTACCTGCTCTGCTACTGCTCTCTTCAAATGAAGAGCGGTAGCAAAGCGAAGCAAAAGGTTTGTTGCTATTGCTACTATGGAGTAGTAAATGCACACTGCTTAAAATTTACCTCTATTCATAGTCGCATTTCAGACTTCTACTAAGTAGTTTCGACTTAGTTTACGATATAGCAAAACGAGTGTGAAAATGTGTCGATTTTTCTTTACGATATTTTGGAAAAATTACATTTTTATTAAATAATGTCAAGTTTGATCATCTGTTTATGTAATTTTTATTTTCATTGCATGATTATGCAAAAGAATAAGGTATCATTTTCTCGATTATTTGTGGGAAATAGCCAGAACAACCGCAGTGATGTGAAGTCGATGTTTATCGAAAGCATCCTGTGAAACATACAAATAGTATATATCTAAATGTTATGCACAAATTTACTTTAAAAAACTAGCGTGAAACTTACCTATTATTTGAGAATTTATCTAAATTATTCCAATTATAAAATTGTGATGTTGCTTTATTCGAATTGTTAAACGCATTTAATTTCATCTTCCGCTTAAAATGGATCGATATTTGTAAATTTTAATTGGAGATTATCCAATATTATCAAAATCACCCTCTACCAACTTAATTTTTACATATTTCGTCTGTTTTCCCTTAATTTGATAAAATACTTCTTCCTAGTTACGACTTAGTTGCAGCTGCAGCCGAAACTAAATTTTAACCCTCTAGTAGGCCAATTTTTTTATGAGTTGAAAAATTCAGGAATGGGTGAATTTAGCACGAGAAATCCAAAAATGATGTCCATTTCGATCTGTGACAGTAACTTTTTCATACAGGGGAGAAAAACCAAGACCGTCTGGAGACGGGCTCGCCGATATACTTACACATATTTTCAGCTTTCTCTTACACAATGTTGACCTACGAACCGGCAATCCCGTCTGCAGACGGTCAAAAATGCAAAACTAGTGTTTTATATGTCGGCAAGCCGGTCTGTAGACGGTCTGTGCTCGAAAGCAATTTTCTCCATTTCGAATGGTGACATAATTATAAAACTTATATTAAAATACGGTGTTTTTAACAACGAAATCCACCGAATTTTTTTATACCAAAAAATTTTTCAAAAGAAAAAATTTCTTTAATTACGAAATTACTAAATAGCAAGAAATAATTAATTTTAACCGTTTTTTCAAAATCTGTAATTCAACTGCCGATTAAACTAAAACGGATTGACATAACGGATTAAAATTTACACCGCCGTAAAGGTACGATTTTTGTCTAAAGATCGTGCCTTACGAATATAGAAAAAAATTATTATAGGTGCACTAAAAAGGTATTTAGTTAACGACCGTCTGGAGGCGGTTCAGCCTACTAGAGGGTTAAGTTGGTACTTAGCCAGAAAAGTCGAAACTAAGGCGACTATGAATAGCTTTAGTTGTGACTTAGAATAGTTTCGACTTAGTTGAGTACTAAATATGACTATGAATATGCGCCATTCTTTTTGGGAATTTATAAATGCTACATCAAAATATTGTTATTTCATTTCATTTCATTTATCGAACAAGAAAATTAGTAAAGAAAGATTTTGAATCTTTTATAGTACAACAGATAGAGTGGAACTCAGGTTGTTAATACATTTACAAAAACGTTACCATGTTGATATTAAAAATGCAGTAGTTATAATT